ATTTCTAGTAACTTTTCTGTCAGTCAATCTATCAGCATACAGACTATAGCTGGAAAAAAAAGATCTAAAAAAAGAACTTCCAACACGCCACTACAACAATACTTTAGCTTGCTTGTTTTTGTTTATGTCCCTGATACGATCTTTAATAATTTTATATCGGAATTTATTATTGATTTTTCATAAAAGTCAGTTGTTCTCTCTCAAAAGAGGAACCACCTTTTCGGCCATTTGTTTTGTTGCATGTAAAACTAAATATTTCCTTTTAGTTCTAATCATTTTTTTCCAAAACTGAATAAAAGATGTACCTTTTCAGTGCTAGTTTTAACTTCCTACACTCTTTCCGCTCCGCATTGCGCCACTTTGCATCAGAACACATTCCCCCATTTCAAAACACAACGCAGGTCCCATCTTGTTGACGATCACAGCTCATGGCCACTCAATTTTTCGCGGGTTTTTTTAAATTTCGTTCATATGTCAATTTTGGCGGAACGTTTGAGTTATTACAATATATAGGCTGTTATGGAATTGAAGACTTCTTAGGCTTCGCGAATAACTGTCAATTTTGTTGTACGTACCTTTCAATAACACCCTGTATATTTTGATTACTCTAGTATCGTGCGTTGGTACAATAAAAACATAAAATAACGTGTGGTGGCCGAATTTGAATCAAATTTTCGCGCTGAATTTAATTAACAGTGGCCCGAAATCACATTTAAATAATTTGAATTTGAGAAAAAAAAATCAATAAAAAAAATCGTTAAACCTAGGCCTTGTGCACGTTTAGTTCTTTTTCTGGTAGTTGGTAGCTCTTTTTAATCGGAAACATGTGAATTTATAAATGACGCCAACACATGCTGTAAATTTGTTTTATTGTTTGTAAATTCCCCGATCAGGTTAGGATTTTTAATCGTTAACTGGTGCTAACACAATTTAACAGACATTTGCTAAGAGCTTTCATGAAATTCACTTAGTCAGGACTAGTTTGATTTTGTTTGTTTAAATATAAATAAGTTTCTGGATGCTAATACGTAAGTGTTACATTACAACACTTCTTAATTCTTCACACAAGATTGCTAATAGTTCATCTACGGTAGATAAATTAACAAAATTCATTATACTGTGAACTGGCGGGGGGTAAAATAATGTTTTCCCTTTGTCCGTGATCATTCTTATTATCATTACATCATCGAGGTATTTCCTCGCTACGTTAAAGATTAATTACATCACCGAGACGCTTTTTCCTCGCAACGATGACTGGATATTTTTGTGTTTATTCATTATGTGTTTTGTTGGGGTAACCAGTTCACAATAAATTCTCAAAGTTAATTATTTTAAGTAACCAATCACTTGGATCAAGACATTATTTAACATAATATAAATTCTTTGTTTGAATGGTTGAAATCCAATCCTCAGTAATTTTCTTTGTTGTATAATTTTTTAAATTAAGAATTATTTGTTGTTTAAAATTTCACAAGATTGTATGCCGAATTTAATTGTTGTTTATTGCTCTTTTGAAACTTTAAGACGTGTTCAGTTGTCGTTAATATCAGCGTCATAGAAATTGAACATTTAAATGGAACTGAGGTTAAATAACACCTAAATATGTAGCGGAAGCGGAGTGCGCGGTTCCTCGTCGAGCTGGCCGAATTTATCGCGCCATCTGCACAAAGGATGCAGGTTTAGAATAGAAGTCAGGGGCGGTCGAGATGACGTGACGCTGTCGGCTTCGTGATAGCCGAGACCCAACCGCGAGTTTGCGACAGTAAGGGCCGTTCGTCATGGAGATAAATTTACTTATTTTTGGAGATGTTGGTATGAATCAGAACAATCGTCATTGTCGTAAAAATCAAGGTTGTCCTTGTGAAACTTGGATTTTATGATTTCACACCATTCTAATCAAGGTTTATAATTTCACAGTTAAATATTGGCGCCGTTTGGCTGGACACGATGTCTTTGTCCAGTTTTATAATTTCATGGTTTAAATTTGTTAATTTTAACAAAAAGCACATTTTGCCACTAAAAATCTTCATATTACAGTTAATTAAGCCTAATTTGGTGGAAACACAAATACTTTTACGACTTCCCAAATAAACTGGTAACTTGTAAACAATTTTGCGAAAACAACTCCTTTGGAGGGGTCTTTACTTATAAAAGATCGAAAGATCCAAAAAAGACCAGAGTCCTCTAGCCAGTTGCCTGTTTAGTGTGTGTTTGTGTTGTGACACAAGGGGGTAAGTGTTGACATCTCCAAAAATGTGCATGATTTCATAAAAAGTTCAAAGTTTTGGTTTTATTAATATTTTTTAAGTTCAGTTTAATTTTGATGATAAATCGCCCTTTGTATTCTTGATTGGATAACGTTTTGAGATTTATATCTATTTTTAAAGATTAATTTGCATTAAAATTATTAGTTAAACAGTTGTATTGTTTGATGAACGCTGACCACGCAACTACTATAATGTTCCTTACCAAATTTTTGAGTTGTTACCAAATTTTGAGTTATGTTACCAAATTTTGAATTATTTTACCAAATTTTGAGTTATGGTACCAATTTTGAGTTTTGTTATATTTTTCTTTTAGATTTTTTTAAATGTTTGTTTTATTATGCTTTCAAAGATTTAGTTTCAAATTTATAAGGTTTTCTTGAATTTATTTAAAAATGTTTTAATACTGAAGTTCATTTTCTGATAATTATCTTTGCATATTAAACTACACTACAATTTATTGTTATACCAAATTATTCTCATATGACTAAATCTCTTTTGTACATACTCATTTCTAAATTAAATATAATTATTCATTTAAGCAAAATGCATATACTTGAAGTAGTCCCTTTGTCCAGTCACTAGAATGTGTTACCATCATCACGAACCAGCCTACGAACAAATAAATAATATTTTCACTATATGTCGGGCACAAGGTCCACGACAAGAGTTTTACAGTTTTATATATAATAAATTAACAAAAGTTAATTTTGAAAATCTCCCAAGCCCGTCACAATGTGCTTGAGATAGATAGAATCGGGTGGGTAGGAGAACAGCCACGACCAGGAGCCCCAAACTCCGTTCGTGCTACAACGCCCCCTATGGGTCAATTTCTCCAGCCTCTTTTGCCAACTCAAGTTCTTCTTTACCTGCCAATATCATTTCCTCTAACGCCACTTTCTCTGTTGCACTGACAATTTTATCCTTTGCCCGCAATGGTGGTAGCACGAGTTGTTTTACAAGTTGCTTGCGAGAAATAATTCCAAAATCAGCCCGTAAACCCATGGTCGGGCCTGCCCTCAACTGGATAAGCGTATCGTTTTACCTGGTTTCTCGGAGTTTGTGAGCGACTCTCACAATACGAACGCAGTGCGAAGTGCGACAGTGATTTCCGATAAGCGAAGAAAAATGTTATTGTCTCGGTGGGAATCGAACCCCACGCCTCCCGCCTACCGGGCAGGTATCCTGACCACTAGACCACGAGGCCACTTATCTTTCTCCGCTTATCGACGTGTTATTATGTCGCCACAGTAAAAAAAAACAAACATCAGTGACATAGAGATCATGCATTTTTTCTTTGGTAGTGGGTATCCTTCGCTTCCTCACTCGACATTGAGATTTATTCAGTCACTGATAGTGGAAGGACGCATGTCTTGAGTGAATGGAAGTCACTTGTGTCTAAAGCTTGTATGTTTAATTTTATTTGTAAAATTTAACGAAAGAGCAAATCTGCAGTAAATTAAAGGGTCACCATCGTTACCCCATGTATAAATAAAATATCAGAATTGAATGTAAAGAATTTAACCTACACACCTCTATTGTTTAAGAATTTAAATCGAAAATAATACATAGACCATAAAAATCGCTGCCTGCCTATGTGTAATTAATACCTACCTTATTCAGGTTGTCGCCCACATGTGTTCATGAAAAAAGCAATAACAAATACAAGAAAACCCAATTTAATCCGCGAAGGACTCATTTATTAACAACAAAATAAAATCATATTTTGATCCCTCTAGTACCGTGCGCTGGCAGAATTGCAAACTTAACACTTTACAAATTGTTTCACTTCGACTATAACAATAAATCAACAAATATGTAGATCACTGCAGTATCGCATCTCACTCACATAAGTGAAGTTGCTCAAAATGTCGCCAATGATTTTATGCTGGATTTCTGTTATGTTTTATAATATGTCCTACGACTGGAGTTTTTGAACGATTTGACGTTCCTCTCATAGCGAAGTGTGTACCGAGCGACGTTATTGTGATTTTGACCATATTTAACATTTTTTCGTTTTATTTATGTAATGGAGAATTCGATTCACGATGTAGTCTTGACGGATTAATTTTGATTTATTGAATTTACGAGCTTTTAAATGCTTTGATGTATTTGAATGTTTGGTTTGTATGGAACTGTGGTTAGAGAGAACAAGCAGAAGGACGAGGACCTGTGACAGCTATCGTTGTTCGTGCTCCATTTAATTTTTGCTCGGTTTGTTGAAGTTAAATACTTAAACTTCAATATTAAAAATTTGTCGACACGCCACTGCAATGACTTTGGTATTGCTATCACCACTTTGCATTACCACATTTCGCCATCTCAAAACACAACTTAGGGTTCCATTTTGTTGACGATCACATAGTTCATGACCATTTTTCAAACATCGCGGGTTTTCGAAATTTGTGCGCAAGTAACATTTGCGCGGAATCACAAAGAGAGGAACTTTACCAATTAATAAGTGTACAAGCTTAGGCAAGAGTACACATACTACCGTGGAGTCGCTGACAGATCATGTGGCGACACAATATAAGTAATAGTAAGCGAATAAAAATCAGCCGCTCTGTAGCCTAGTGGTCAGGGCACCCACCCGGTAAGCAAGAATTTTTTCCTCTTATCACGGAAAATTAAACTTTTTACACTGAAGTTATATGCGTTGTTCACCTTACCGGTCGTTACTACTTCACTTTACAGGATAAAGGATACCATGAACTGGGATGTTGAGGTATTACCACATTATGATACTATACACTAGATGCGTTTTTATTTATAAAAACAGTAAAATACTTAGGAGACAAATATATGGTGAGTTTTGTTATGTACACGGTTGATATAAGACAGGTATTTCAACTGATGAGATCGTAAAAAAAAATTGCAACGTTTTTTCCCGTTAATGACAGTCTTAATGATAGTTCACCCAAGATATTTTTGCTATTCTTATGGTAAGTAAAGCAACATTCCAATCATTATTATTATCATCTACTTATTTACTTAGATCAAACAGAATCGTTCAAATTTAACTCCCTTTGCACATAAATTATCAAGGATGACCACATTTACATTTGAGTAATCTGCAAATATTGTATTCTTAAAAGTGTTATGTATGTATTGAATCTCTAAAATAATAATATAATATGAAACATTACACGTGTAAAATTAGAGAGTAAATTACAACTAAAAAAAAATGTACAAATAAAAAAGGGGACGCGATAGAACTTAGTTAATCACGATTCCCCATTGCCGCTATCGTTTTCATCTTCGTCTGCATATTCTGAATCATCCGAGGGATCGTCATAATCTTCGTCATAATCGTCGTCGTAGAAGTCTGTCATTTCAACTTGTGAGTCTGATGTATTTGGTTTAATTTGGGTTTTGATGCAGTAGTCTTCCAGGGTTAGTGGAACTTGGATACCATCTCTTTCGGCTTCTGCTCTAGCAGCCATTGCTTGTTTCCTACAAAAACCATATAATGTATATAAATTCATATCATTATAAAAAATGCGTTCAGTACAAAACTTCATACAAACCTAATGATATTTTCATATTCTTTATCGCGTCCTTTTGAATCTCTCCAACGTCGATACATTACTGATGCATCAACATTCGCAGGACTAAATGTGTTGGGCTCGTTGAGAAGTGATATTACGCTGAGTAATATAGTGCGCACACTTTGTGTGGGATTCCAGCGTTCACAGGGTAGTTCGCCTGATTGGGGATCGTCTACCGGCGAGTGCAAAATACTGATACAGAGGTCTCCATTCTGCAAAGAAGACGTAATAGATTATTTATTACAGTCGAATTATAGTGAACACAAAAAGTTATCATTGTACAACATTAATAAGGAATTAGTAAATAAAATGTTTAAGAAAGTTGAGAATGGAATGTTCTTTAACGCAACAGAAGAAAATGAAACGCTAAGAAAAAAAAGAAAAAGAGTTCATTAAGTTATTTTTAAACTTAAAAGTCGCTCCTGACAAATTTGGAAAAACAGTTTGGAAGCCTATTCAAACAAGTGTTATACTGACTATAACATCAATTTTAGACCTGAAAAACTTGTTTATGAACGAAAAAAAAAAAACTCATATTTATTAACATAGAGATTTTCTCAAGATTGTTTAGAAAATGTATTTTCCCAAATTAAAAAAAATAAAACTTTTATAAGTTTCTCAATATTTCTACGTTTCAAATAATTCAAGTTACGAAACCGACAAAACAACACCTTTAGTTGGTTTTTTGAGTTATATTAAAAATAATAACAGAAAAGAAAACGATGTTCCTAAAGGAAAAGAAAATTTAGCTTTACCTAGAAATTGGAATTTGACGAAAAGAGAACTTTCTTTGAGAGAAAAAAAATGCTTTGTACAGTTGCACACGTTACGTTGTTAAAAGCTTGATAAAAAATCAAAATTTTTGCAAAAATGTATTGTTGCTTCGGTCTCTAAGAAGACTTGTAATGAAAATTATGCAAAATTTGTGGCATTAAAAGAATATAAAACTGGTGCTTTACATTACGCTTCAGATAACGCGTTCCAAATAGCAATTTTAGTAGAGCCAATATTTTGTAATTTGAGAGATTATTTAAAGAATAATAATTTTTGCAATGGTAATATTTTGGAAGTCATGAAGAAAGAAATTGGGAAAAATTCGACTACAGCAAAACAAAATTTACTGCAAGAACGATAGATTACCGACTGAAAATCTATACCAGAAAAGCTAAAGAAGAAATAAGAAAAAACAAAGAATAAAATGGTCCAGCGAAAGCCACGCAATGAGGGATTTGGTTGAAAATGCAAATCAAAAATTTGAAAAAAAAATAAAGAGTAACAGTTTCGTTGTCCAAAATTTTTTGAGTTAGTTATCTTCGATGTTTTATCCATTATATTATGTAAATAAGCTTAATACCACTAGGTACAATCGCACGCAAATGTTTTGAGCCTATGGGCGGATCGTTTTTGCCTGCCCTCACCGAAGAAGGCGGTCCAAATCCTTCAAGGGCAGAATTTGTAGGTAGGCTCAAACTACAACGAAATTTACATTTGGTAAGAAATATTTATGGCTCACACCAGTTCTCTCGAATTTGTCGGAGAAGATTTAGCAGCTAGTTGTTCCCATAAAATAATGGTCCCTTTCGTTCGTGAGTAACGATGGTCCGGACATGAATTATTTTGCTTTATAACATCTTTCGACCAATTGTCCCGTATAAAACATTTCATCACTTTTTCAAATAAAATACTCTTAAAAAAAACGATATTGTCGTTGAGTGACATGTAACTGGCATAATAATAAAAACGTGCCATTTTTGTTAACTGATATTTTTTTCATAAATGTCGCAAAATTATTAAATTTGTCTAATCATCCCCACCAATAATGTGATGACGTCACTTCAAATTTATGCATAGGAAATGGGTTTTAAATTATATACAGTAACATAGTCCTACACATGTAGTTTATGACTCCGTGTTGAGTTTTTATTATATTTTGGAAAAAAAATCAAAATTATGAAACAATATTTTGCAATTTAATTTTGAATTTGCAAAATCGAATAATTTGAAATCTTGCAGATGTTTTAAAGTCACGATAAACATGATTTAATTAAAATATATTTGCTTATCCCCTCTAAAAAAATTATGACGTCACCTCAAAATTTTGCAGAATAAATCCTATCTTAAATGTATAAAATATGATGAGTTTTTATACTTGTGATTTATCACTGCATTAATATTTTTTAGATTTGGTTATACAGGGTGTCTCAAAAAAGTTAATGACTGAGTCAATTTATTTTATTGAAGAAATCAAGAATAGCAAAACTGAATACTTTGAAATATTGTAGATGTTTTGAAGTTTTTGTAAGCATGGTAACTTTTTCGAAAATTTGATTAATCAAATATGCGCAAAACCAAAAATCGGGAAAACTGAAATTCACTAATGCAAAAAACAGAAAATCGAAAAATACAAATCGTAAAAATCGAAAATCTAAAAATGGCTAATCAAAAAATCGAAAATTCAATTAATCAAATACCTAGGTCGATCGAAAAGTGGAAATTCACAAACCTCAAAAATCAAAAACAAAAATAAAAAAAAATCGGAAATTAAAATAATCAAAATATAAAAAGTAGAAAAAAATTGCAAAGCCTAAAAACTGAAACGAACAGAAAAATCGAAAAAGCAAAAAATTGGAAATCTGAATAAAGAAACTTGGAAATTCTGAGAATTGGAAAATCGAAAACCAAAAAATCGGGAAGTAACTAAATTGAAGTCTAACAGTTGAGAATGGAAAAACTGAAAAACCGAAAATTCTAAAAATCGACAATGGACAAATTGAAAATCGCAAAACTTAAATTGAACAATTGAACATAGAAAAATCGAAAATTCGACTACTCAAATTTTCTAAAAATCGAAAAATCATAACACTGAAAAATCCAAAATTCTAATGATCGAAAGTCTGAAAACTGAAAATCGAAAATTCTGAAAAGCGGAAAATAGAATATCGAAAAATTTAAAAGAAAGAAAATTGAAGTCTAAAAACCGAAAAATGGAAAAATTAAAAATCAAAAGTTCGAAAAATCAAAACCGAAAAATTCAAAGATTTAAAAAGAAAATCGAAAAATCAAAAATCTGAAAATTGAAACTCGAAAATTTGGAAAATCGAAAAGTAAAAAAATTGAAGTCTAAAAGCTGAAAAATGCAAAACTGAACAATCGAAAATTGGAAAATCAAATATCGAAAAATCGAAAAGCCGAAAAATCGAAAATTTGATAAATCAGATGTGCGAAAAACAGAAAATCTGAAAATACAAAACTGGAAAATCAAAAATTTAAAAATGGAAAAACCGAAAATCGAAAATTCAATGAATCTAATACGTAGGTCGATCGAAAAACTGGAAATTCACAAATCTGAAAAATCGAAAAACGGAGAATTGAAAACACAAAAAACCGAAAAATGGAAAAATCAAAAATCGAAAAATAGGAAAACCGAAAATTCGAAAATTCATAATATTGAAAACTCTAAAAGTCGACAATTCAAAAATCAAAAAATTGGAAAGTAAAATAATCGAAAAATCGAAAAGTAAACAAATTGCAAAGCCTAAAAACTGACGAACAGAAAAATCGAAAAATCGTAAAATCAAAAAGTAGAAAATCGAAAACTGGAAATTGAAAAATCGAAGATTGGAAAATCGAAAAATCGAAAATCGGAATATCGAGAATCGACAAATTAAAAAACCGAAAAATCGAAAAATTAAAAAATCGGAAATCGAAAAATGAAAAAAAAAAAACGAAAATTCAAAAATCGAATAATCCGAAACTAAAATAATAGAAAAGTGGAAAAGTAAAAATTGCAAAGTTTCAAAACTGACGAACAGAAAAATCGAAAAATATCTAAAAATGGAAAATCGTAAAATCGAAAATTGGAAAATGGAAAAACCGAAAAATCGAAAATTCGATGAAACAAATACTCAAAAAAACGAAAAGTAAAAAATTGCAAGGCCTAAAAATTGAAAAATTAAAAAATCGGAAAAATGAAAATCGAAAAAACGACGATCGAAAAAAAATAAAAAAATCGAAAAGTGGAAAATCGGAAAGTAACAAAATTGAAATCTAAAAGCTGACGAAGGGAAAATTCTAAAAAGCAACAATCGAAAAACGCAAAATTAAAAATTGAAAATTTGAAAAATGGAAAATCGAAAACTCGAATATCGAGATTTTGAAAAATCGTAAAAATGATAATCGAAAAATCGAAATACTCAAAAATCGAAAATTCGATTAATCAATATTCTAAAAATCGAAAAATTAAAAAACCGATAAATTGAAAAATCCCAAATCGAAAAATGGAAAAACCGAAAATTCAAAAATCAAACTATCGGAAAGTAAAATAATCGAAAAATGGAAAAATAAAACAAATTGCAGAACTATAAAAACTGAAACAAACAGAAAAATCGAAAAACCACAAAAGCGGAAAAACGAAAATCGAAAAATCGTAAAATCAGAAAATGGAAAATCGAATAATCGAAATTTGAAAAATCGATGGTCGAGAAATAAAACAACCGAAAAATCGAAAAATTTAATGATTAATGGAAAATCGAAAAATCGAGAATAGAAGAATTAAAAACGTAAAATCGAGAATTCAAAAATCAAAAAAATCGGAAAGTAAAATATAATCGAAAAATGCAAAAAAAATGCAAAATCTAAAAACTGACGAACAGAAAAATCCAGAAATCTAAAAATGGAAAGACGAAAAATCGAAAATTGAAAGAATGGCAAATCAAAAAATCGAAACATCGAAAAATCAAAAAAACGAAATCTTAAAAAATCGAAAAACGAAAAAACTAAAAACTCGAATATTCAAAATACCGCAAATTTGAAAAATCAGAAAATTGGAAAGTAATAAAATCGAAAAGTTGATAGAAAAATTGAAACTGAAAAATCTAATTCGATGAAATGGTTGGTCCAAAAAACGAAAAATCGAAAATCGAAGTGATCTTTTTTTGAGACAGGCTGTATAAGTAAATTTAAAAAATATTACTGCAATGATAAATCACAGGTATAGACTCATCATATCAAATTTTACGATGACGTCATGCATTTTTTGGCGAAGATAAGCAAACACATTTTGATCGTGGCTTTGAAAGTATTCTTCGACTTTCGTTCCATTTCAAAATTTACTCTTTGTATATTTCAGTGGTCACAACGAGTTCACTAACTACGCTGAAGTATGCGAAGATTAAATTTGTCACCGAAAAGATGTCGGAAGTAATAAATTATCCTATCGGTCGAAGAACGTTCGGTCCGGTGTTACACCTCGACTCAAGAGAGACCGGATAACAAATGAAACGGATAAAATAAAGCCTCAAACATGATTGATAAACTTTAAACCAAAATTATGAAGTTTATAAACTGAACATTTTTTTTGTTTTTTGAAATGTAGTACACTTCAAAAAATGTCCGTGACTTATTTTAATATGAATCTTATAACTACACAATTAGACCTAATATTAGTGTGATTTTGAGCATATTCTCGATTTTATTAGAGCAGAAATAGGTTTTTTTTTCTAATTTTATAACTTACGGAAACTAATAGCACATCACACATATTGCAAAAAAAATTGGGCTCAGGTTACAACTAATCGACAAGATTTCAAAGTATTCAGTTTTGCAATTCTTGATTTCTTCAATAAAATAAATTGACTCAGTCATTATTTTTTTTGAGTCACCCTGTATGTATAAACAAATCCAAAAAATATAAATGGAATGGTAAATCACAAGTATAGACTCATCATATTCTGAACATTTTAGACAGGGTATTTATAAAATTAAAACTAATTCAGAGTAAGAATTTGGTCAACACGTAAATTTCGTTGTAGTTTGAGCCTACCTACAAATTCTGCCCTTGGACGATTTGGACCGCCTCCTTCGGTGACGACCGGCAAAAATGATCCGCCCATAGGCTCAAAACATTTGCGTGCGATTGTACATAATACTTTCTTTTTTTACTTTTACCACTGCTTTTACCAATTAAATTATTGTATAGAAATTAAAAATATTTTTTCGACAGAAAAATTGTAGACACAAACCATAAAATCGAATAAACAATTTCATTAAAAAATATTTACGTTTATACGTTTTAAACTCTTTTTGGCATCGGATATGTTTAATAAATGTTCAATAGTTTTCTTAAAATAATATACATCTAATATATTAATAATAAAAAACGAGTTTCTTTTATGATGTACCACCGGATATTATTACGTTTAACTCATGCTAATGAAATTTCAGTTCATAAACATAACAAAGACGTTTAAAAATTTTTAACCGAAGTAGTAAACTAAACTGAACTATTATTAACAACCACAGTATGATTAATGAAATAAAAGTGAAACTAAATGAAAGTGATTCTATCACATAAGCTATTCACTTAACCATTAAAATTTCTTCGCTTTAATAATTTCATGAGAGTAAAAAAAGTAGAGCATGAACACAACAGCAACCTGTTGTTGCTTTACAATTTTTATATACGAAATTCAGTCAAAGACTAAATAACTTAACCTTTTTTTCAATTTAGTGCAAAAGGAAAGGGACATCACGTGGTCTGCGCATAGTGTCAATTTATTTTTTTCTCAGTCCGAAAGTAGAACGTCTTTGCAGTGGCGTGGATTCAGACTCAGAATATATTATTTCTGCCACATTTAATAAATAATAGTAATAGTTTCAAGAATGTGACTATAAAATTTAGATTTTCTTTAAACTTTGAAATGAACAATGATTTTTCAAAAAATCATTGTTCATTATAGAAGCCAACAACTGATAGCAAATAAAGATTATAAAGAAGTGATTCCAACTTTCCTTAATATTATTAAGAAAAAAGATTTTATAAATTTTATGTACTACTTTTATTGGCATTCCATGTATCAACTCTATTAAACACACTTTATAATATTTAACAATAAATATTCTCTGCATTATAAAGTCGGATTTTTTTATCTTTTCCATCAAGTGACTATTTTGTTTACACGCCGCAACAAAATTATTATTGCTATCTTTTTTTACCGAGAAAAAAACCGCATCTACCACGAAGGTCATTGGTGGTTGTAAAGTGTAGTATGAGGGAACTATAATATAGACATGACAAATTATATGTGTTTGGAAAGTCCAGAACGATGGAGGAATTATAGAAGGTCGGTTTGTACGTCCACCTGTATCTTTGTTCACATAAAAATTCTTGTTAAAGTTGCAATTTAAAATTTTCGAAAAATATTACTGTTTTTCGACGTTTACTAAACATGAAGTGTTAACTGTACCGACGCTCTGTGATCACGTGATGGAAATGATAAATTAAATTCAACTGTACTGCTTTCAATTTTATCCTTACCTCATATACATTGGGATGCCAAACTTTGGTTAAAAACCTAATTGACGGCGGAGAGTATGGGTAATCCGGCGGAAATTTCATTCTTGCCTGGAAAAAAAAGTTTATATTTGTATAAGAATAATAGAAGTTACGGTTACAAATTTTCAAAAACGCCCGCCAAGTAATGTGATAATAATATACAATACATATATGTGATGTCTCTATGTGTCGTTGATCTTTGATATCAAGACAATTAAGTTGGAAACGTATTGGTGTATTTTGTGCTGATCAATGATTTATCAAGAAAACTGATACACTACACTTAACAAAATCATTTGGACAACTGTTATTAGATTTCGAGTAAAACTATCGATAGCATTTGTTCTTTCAAAAACTACAGTAAATGTTTGTAAAATTAAGCAAAAAAAAAACAATTATAAGTTATTATTTATTAGCAGTCTAAAGCTCAATTGTTTATTTATGTTTATACATCGAAAGAATGTCACGTAGAAATTAGTTTTCTTTGAATGAGTTTGTCTTCTCAAAATAGAGGACTACGATTATTGTTAATTAAAGCACATTCGAACAAAATGTTCTGGATATTATAATTCTTATTTTAACATTATTATGTAAACACGTGCGTATTCTCACATTTTCGAGAAAATGGGGTGATTTGTTCTTAATTTTAACAATAACAATTTTGTGAAGACGTTTTGTATCTTCATATTTAACTCATCAATCAATCAATCAAATTGTGTCCCCCCATTTCAAAAAGTTACGAACCGCCACTGCAGAAAACAACAAATTTTACAATACAATACAGTACAATAGTCAGTTTGACTTATAAGGGTGGTTTGACTTAAGCCGCTTAAGTCAGAAAAGTTTTACTAAGTATGTATATGTCGAGTGAGTTAAGTATATTTATTATTGTTTTTTTTTATGAACATATGTGAGCGACAACCTAATTACATTTACATTTAAAGTTTTTGTTGCATCGAAAAAGGTAGGTATTAATTACATATAGGCGGGTAGCGATATTTTCATAGTCCATATATTTTCAATTTTAATTCTTGAACAAGAGTTTTGAACAAAATGTTATAGAGAAAAATTTACGCCAATGATGAGTTCTATAACCGGTTAAATTTTTTGCAATCAATTCCGTAACACCTTGTATAATGACAGACGGATGAAGGATTTTACACTATATTTATATTAGTTTCTCTTTTTTCTTTTATATCTTTATTTGACTTGAAATTTTGCTCCTCTTATTAAAATTTGTCTATATTATAACTCTACAAAACATGCGTTAAAATTTTGTTTCCTAATTTATTGTTACGTTGTATGAGTATTTAAAATCGGCGTGGGTAAAACTCAGTTTACTTCTCGCTAGTACTAATTTACGCGACTTATATTTTTATATTTTGTCCATTTTTTCTTAATATACGAAGCCTTCTTCTCCCCACAAAAAACTGACAACATGTTTAACTGTCCTGTTGAAAAAGAAGTCTATTTATTAACAAAAAAAACTAAAACTTAAGCAAGGATCTCAATTCTGATGAGTTTTTCATTCCTAATCAGATCGAAGAGCGGAGTTTAACTGCAAAATCCTCATTTCTCTGCAAGAAATTATCATATGAAATATTTTTTTACATCAATATTTCTCTAAAAATTTCTACCCTTGTAGAAAAACATATTTCATATGGTAATTTCTTATAGAGAAATCAGGAATTTACAAACTAAACTCCGCCGGTCAGCTCATGATGAATAAAACATTCGTCACAATTAACAAGGGGGGTGGGTGGGCGGGGCTTATATTTTGTCCATTTTTTTCTTAATATACGAAGTTTTCTTTTCCCAACAAGAAACTGACAACATGTTTAACTGTCCTGTTGTTGAAAAAGAACTCTATTTATTAACAAAAAAAAAACTTAAGCCCCACCCGCCCGGATCTCAATTGTGATGAGTTTTTCATTCCTAATCAGACTAAAGGGCGGTGTTTAACTGCAAAATCCTCATTTCTCTACAACAAATTATCATATGAAATATTTTTTTACATCAATATTTCTCTAAAAATTTCTACCCTTGTAGAAAAACATATTTCATATGGTAATTTCTTTTAGAGAAATCAGGAATTTGCAAACTAAACTCCGCCGGTCAGCTCATGATGAATAAAACATTCGTCACAATTGAAAAGGGGTGGGTGGGCGGGGCTTATATTTTGTCCATTTTTTTCTTAATATACGAAGCCTTCTTTTCCCAACAAGAAACTGACAACATTTTTAACTGTCCTGTTGTTGAAAAATAACTCTATTTATTAATAAAAAAAATGAAAAATAAATAATAGTTTAAAAAACTAAAAAAACACGCTTTTATTGCTAATCGAACTAAAAACTAGAAAATAATTTTTAATGACAGAGTTTAATATTACAGTAGTAGAAGATCAAACAATCAATCATAATAAATCACCTCAAATTAAAATTATAATAAAATTTAAGTTATTAACAGAATAATTCAATTCAGAGTAAAAAGCGTGGGGTGCTTGATATTTTAAATATTACAATCATTCTATTGGCAACTATCTATGAGAGGATAGTTATGAACCGCAGTAAAATGCACCCCACGCTTTTTACTCTGAATTGAATTATTCTGTTAATAACTTAAATTTTATTATAATTTTAATTTGAGGTGATTTATTATGATTGATTGTTTGATCTTCTACTACTGTAATATTAAACTCTGTCATTAAAAATTATTTTCTAGTTTTTAGTTCGATTAGCAATAAAAGCGTGTTTTTTTAGTTTTTTAAACTATTATTTATTTTTCATTTTTTAGTCTGCGACAAATTCATAAATTGGGGAATTAATTACTTATTTAGATTTTTCTAGAAAGAACCACTCAGTGGTCTCCGTAGGATCGAGGATCCTGGCGGTCCTAATAAGGATAATGGGAAACTGTTATCAAATTATTGCATTGTCATCGATCCTTGAGACGTGTGCAAAGTTTCAAGATGATCAGACTTTTAGAAACCGATGAAAATTAAGCTCAAAGATTCCGTTACATACATACATACAACCCAAGCTAATAAAAGCGTGATAAAAAAAAACTTAAGCCCCACCCACCCGCCCCGATCTCAATTGTGATGAGTTTTTCATTCCTAATCAGATCGAAGGGCGGAGTTTAACTGCAAAATCCTCATTTCTCTACAAGAAATTATCATATGAAATATTGTTTTTACATCAATATTTCTCTAAAAATTTCTACCCTTGTAGAAAAACATATTTCATATGGTAATTTCTTATAGAGAAATCAGGAATTTGCAAACTAAACTCCGCCGGTCAGCTCATGATGAATAAAACATTCGTCACAATTGAAAAGGGGTGGGTGGGCGGGGCTTATATTTTGTCCATTTTTTTCTTAATATACGAAGTTTTCTTTTCCCAACAAGAAACTGACAACATGTTTAACTGTCCTATTGTTGAAAAAGAACTCTATTTATTAACAAAAAAAAAACTTAAGCCCCACCTACCCGCCCGGATCTCAATTGTGATGAGTTTTTCATTCCAAATCAGACTAAAGGGTGGAGTTTAACTGCAAAATCCTCATTTCTCTACAAGAAATTGTCATACGAAATATGTTTTTACATCAATATTTCTCTAAAAAATTCTACGCTTTTAAAAACATATTTCATAATGCAATTTCTTCTGGAAAAATAAGGATTTTGCAAACTAAACTCCGCCCGTCAGCTCATGATGAACAAAACATTCATCACAACTGAGAAGGTGTGGGTGGGCGGGGCTTATATTTTGTCCATTTTTTCTTAATATACGAACTCTTCGATTTCCAACAAAAAACTAAAAACATGTTTAACTATCCAGTCATTGAAAGAAAACGCTATATATTGAAAAATAAAAACAAAAATTAAGCCCCACCCACCCGCCCTGATCTCAATTGTGATGAATTTGTCATTCCTAATTAGACCGAAGGGCGGAGTTTAACTGCAAAATGTTCATTTCTCTACAAGAAATTATCATATGAAATATGTTTTAAATCAAAATTTCTTTAAATATTCTACCCTTTTAAAAACATATTTCATAATTATGGTAATTTCTTGTAGAGAAATGAGGATTTTGGAAACGAAACTCCGCCCTTCAACTCGTAATAAATAAAACATTCATCACGATCGAGAAGGGGTGGGCGGGCGGGGCTTATATTTTGTCCATTTTTTCTTAATATACCAAGTCTTCGCTTCCCAACAAGAGACTGAAAACATGTTTTACTTTCCTGTTGTTGAAAGAAGATCCTATATATTAAAAAAAAGAACAAAGATAACGTTATTATACCGTGCAATTGTTTTTGCCAATTCTCCAAGATTCGGTTTTTAATCAATCGATTTTTTAATTTTCAGTTTAATAATTCTTACAGTGATTATGTATGGAATAAGTCTGACTCGACTGGAATGGATTTGACTAGACCCAAATTCTGTCAACTGGACTCCACTGATGCTCCCGACGGGGGTCCCCATTTACACAGCCAATTTTATTATAAATAAATATGGGGTAATAATAACCACATAAAAAGACAACACTTTTTAAAATAAAAGACATATTTATAATTTTTGATCTAAAAATTCTATTAAAATCACAATTGTTCGTAATTCAAGTATGCAACCAATCTTATACATTTAGTATTTTCAATTTCTCTTAATAGATGGCTCTACCAAACTCCGCTAAATGATATGTGTCATACATAGAAATTCTGCCCATCCGCCAATCCGATAGACTCAAAGTCAAACTAACTATCAAGAAAGCCATGTGACATTTATCGACTTTTTTTAGCAGAGACGCAAACCATTGCTCCAATCGGTTACCAACATTTGCAGGCAGCGACAACCGATGGCAGAAATCGGCGGCTACCTCGCGCATCGCTTCTGCGCACGTCACGTCATTTATACCATACACAGCACACTTAGCTCTAGAATGTGGTGCCAACTGGATTCTTTCATGTCACAAGCAAAGTTATTTGTAATTTTCAAATTTAAATGAATAATATCATGTCGAGACATTTTTTAACTCTGAACATATGAAAGTAAGTATGGGCTTAACCACTAT